TTTTCGGGACAGTACCCAGTCCTCAGCCAGAACAGAAATTCTGTTCTCCTCACTTGTCTTGCACTGTGGAGTAGTTGCTGAGCAGACAGGATAACCAAGAGGAGCTCCAGTGAGGCCCCACATTGATAGTGTAGCAGAAGCCGAAGGCCTCAAACCAGACCAGTGAGTTTGCAATGAACAATTGCAAGAAAAGATATTTGGATAATAGGGTTTACTGCATGACTCACTGCGTCATACTACAGCTTCCATGATGAGATTTCCACCCTCCCACCTTGTCCCCTTTTTTCTTTGTTTCTTCAATTTTATTTGGGGGGAGGGCTGCAAGGGCAGAGAGCAGATACAGAGGGACAGGAAATGAATGGGATCGAGAGGCATGATGTGAAAGACACAAAGAGTAAATAAAAAGAAAGTTAAAAAACAACAAAACTTCAAGTTCCTGGGCCTATGAGATGGCTTTGTGTGTAAAGGAGCTTGCTGCAAAGTCTGATAACTGGAGTTCAGTCTCCAGGACCCTTATGACGGAAGTTGTCTTCTGACTTCCATATGTACACTATGCCACATTTGTGTGTGTCACACAATGGTAAAAAGAAAAGAGGTTAAACTTTTGGGTTCCTTTCTTCTGGAGTTGGGTCTTTCAGCATCAGTTATTACAAGTTCAGTCCCATGCTATGTTCTATGACTAGACAAGAAAAGGACCAAATTACTTTAATACAGTCACTGTATTGCCCATCACCTTGGACATCCCAGTGACTTTTTAAAAGGTACTTAAACAACAGGTGGTGGCAGCGTGTGCCTTTAATCCCAGCACTCGGGAGCCAGAGGCAGGCTGATCTCTGTGAGTTTGAGGCCAATCTGATCTACAGAGTGAGTTCCAAAACAGCTAGGGCTGTTACACAGAGGAACCTAAGTGTAGGTTTATGAATGCCATTATCACCAGGCCTGCATGTAAGTGCCTCTACTTGCTAGGTCATCTGTCAGCCCAAAAGCATTTAAAAAAATGTGTGTGTTATATGCCTGTGTTGTGTGGGACAATTCTGTATTCTGTCAATTATGTTTTAAATAAATGCTGATTGGCCAGGAGCCAGACAGGAAGTATAGGCAGGACAACCAGACAGGAAGCAGAGGCAGGGCAGTGAGAACAGGAGTATTCTGGGAAGAAGGAAGCTCTTCCCGAAGTCCTATCCAGACACAGAAGAAGCAGGATGTGACCTACTCCGCTGAAAAAGGTACTGAGCCATGTGGCTAACATATACTAGAATAATGGGTTAATATAAGTTATAAGAGCTAATACAAAACCTGCGCTATTGGCCAATCAGTTTATAACTAATGCAGACGCTCTGTGTGATGTCTTTGGGACCTAAACAGCTGTGGGAACTGGGCAGGAAAGAAACCCCAACAAGTAGGCCCTCATGTTATAAATGGTGCCAATGTGTGGACAGTTGCATCTACATAAAGCCTGAGACCTTGGGAAGTAATTCTAAACACAAAATAACAACATTATGCATGGTTTCTTTGTAGCAGCAATTTCTCAGGTCTGCTCTGCTTGCTAAAGGCAAGCAAGCGCTCTCATCTAAGAGAGGCTTCCTGACTCAGCTTTAGCTGTAAAACCTTGCAGGCTTTTAAGAGGTCCTGCCAAGAAACACTTAAATAGTGTCGATAAAAAGCTGACTGCATGCTTTTTGGTTTTCAGTGATAGCAGGGAAAAAGAAATCTGTGTTGTTTTAAAATGCTGGCTTTCTGGGCCGTCCTGCCAGTGCAAACTCTCACTCTTTGAGGTAGGAGGTTTGGCTACAGAGACAGCATTTGAGTGTTGTTTGTGGACACACTGTTGCAGCTTACTTGCTGGCAAGGACCTTGAAAAGCCATAGAGTTGTGGCAGTAAACATGGCTCTGGACAGTACCCCCACCATGAGCCTGGAATTTCATAAAGCTATGGAATAGGCTAGATCCAGCTGTCAAAGCCATGGCTTTAATCCTACCTATATTGCTTAGCAAATTAAAGACTCATGTGGTCAGAAAAAGAGAGATATACAGTAAAGATAGATTCAAAGATAAAAAAAAAAACTAAATGGTTTGCTGTGTGTTAAAAATATATGCTGGCTTGAGAGAGAAAAGAAAAAGGTTAAAGTCCTTAAAAAAAGAAAGAGAGGAGTTGGGTTTGGTGGCATACACCTTTAATCCCAACACTTAGGAGGCAGAGGTAGACAGACCTCTGTGAGTTCAAGGTGTGGTAGTGCACACCTTTAATCCTAGCACTTGGGAGGTAGAGGCAGGTGGATTTCTGTGAGTTCAAAGACAGCCTGGTCTACAGAGAGAGTTCCAGGACAGCCAAAGATACACAGAGAACCTGTCTCAAAAAGTAAAAGTAAAAATAAAAGAAATAGAGGTTAAAGTTAAGCCACATAAAGATGGAAAATACACAGAGAATCTTGATGCTGTATGTTATTATGCTCTCTTTGAATTGTTTGAATGCTGAGGAAGGAGCAACAGCTGCTAAAAGATATTTGCTTATAAATGCTGTTGAATTAATTCAAGATAGGTATTTTGAAAATACCTTGGCTTCAAAAGTGAAGTCAAAAGATATGTTACTTTGGAGAAAAGGTTTTACTTTTGTTTCCACAGAAAATGAGAGGCTATGGATTTATTCTGAGTTAAGAAAAATCAGGTTTAATCAAGGACCACCTGAGAAATCTCTAGTAGGAACAGATGGCCCAGATGTCTGAGTTCTACATCCAAAACAGATTTAAGATGCTGCCTGAGATGATCAAGACTCACAGGATACTCCAGTCAGGACTTGATCATAATTCTAAATTTTCTTTAGGTCCCCATAAGATTACCAACACCCCCAAACAGCAGGAAGTAGCTTGGAATACTATGCCCACATTCCCAAAAATGGACTATGGATATTTTCCTTTGCTTAAAAAAAGGGGGGGGGAACTCTGTGAGTTCAAGGTGTGGTGGTGCACACCTTTAATCCCAGCACTCAGGAGGCAGAGGCAGGTGGATATCTGTAAGTTCAAGACCAGCCTGGGCTACAGAGCTAGTTACAGGAGAGGCTCCAAAGCTACAGAGAAACCCTGTCTTGAAATAAAAAGCTAATATGAAGCCTGAGCTAAAGGGCCAATCAGTTTGTAACTAATGTAGACTCTCTGTGTGATTTCTTTGGGACCTAAACGGCTGTGGGAACTGGGCAGAACAGAAACCACAACAAGCAGGCCTTCATGTTACACATGTGCTATTCACACATGTGTTATATGCATCTATGTGTTATATTCACATGTGTGTGTGGGTGTGCTTACTAAGATGTTTTCCTGTCACTCTTCACCTTATTCCTTTGAGGCAAGGTCTTTCCTTGAATGAGAAACTTGGGTTTTTCAGTTGGGCTGAAGCCAGCAGGTCCCAGTGATCCTGTCTGCCCCACTGAACACTCCTGTTTATGGGTGTGGCTGGGACCCTGGCTGGCTCATGTGGGTCCCTATGGTTGAAGAGCAAGAGCTTTTCCTGACTGGCTGGGTTCTCTCCCCAGAACCTATATTATAAACTCTCTAGTGTTAGAGATTGAACCCGGGCAAACTAGCAAAGGATTCTACCACCAAGCTACACTCCAGTCAAGTATTCTGTAAAGACTTTGATTTAGGATTGTCATATGGTTGTAATACACATGACAGTATTTCAAAATGAAAATTTTTGCTTTCCTTAAAACCTACCGACTAGTGCTGTATAAAATAAAATTTGGAAAATAATTAATAATTTTATCTCAGAATAGGTTTAAGAAATGTACATGTTAGTTATAAGGACAAAATAATTAAAAATACATAACTATATTGTGTGAACCAATGAGTTTTACTGTCACTACTTATAGGAATGTAGGTGAGGGGTTATTTACAGGAACAGAAATGACTCAAAGCCAGGAGCTTAACAGCCTGCCCCAGCACGGGTGACAGTTCACAAGGGCTGGTAAGTTGGAGTTGTACAACTCATCAAGCTGGAGGCTCTTTTGGGAAGCTCAAGTGGCTTGAACCTCTTCTAGGCATCTCAGATGACCCCCTTCTTTAATGTAGCTTGGCTGGTCTGCTTCCTCTGGGGCAGCTAGCATCATCTGAGCCTCTCTTAAGCAACTAAGCTTATCCCAGTTTCTAACTTCTTCACGGTACCTAACTTGCCGTGGTAAATTATTTTATAGCATACTTCTTGGGCTAGTGAGATGGCTCAGTAGGGAGAGCAGCTTGCCATGCAAGCGTGATGACCTGAGCTGGATCCCTGGAGCCCACACTGGAAGAAGACTCATGAAGCTTGCTCTCTGACACCCACACAAACACAGAGAGTGAAAGAGAACTTTATAAAACATAACCTCTTGGCACACTGATGTGTTGACATGCATATGGGGGTTACCTACACAGTAGGCAAACACTTCAAAGATGAAGATGTTGGACCCTGGAATAACTGGAAGCAAGCCATACTTTTCCTTGCCAAAACTGGAAATCTATTAAGCTGTCTAGATTCTAACAAAATGGTTTTATCTCTATCAAATATGTTTTCTCTCAGAAGATTAAGGGGAAGGAAACACATGTAACCTGTAATGTGTGCATGCAGAATATTCAAGATTCATCTTTCCACCGACTTACACATGTAAACTGTAATGTGTGTATACAGAATATTCAAGACTCATCTTCCCAACAACTTATATATGTAATCTGTAATGTGTGCATGCAGAACATTCAGGATTCACCTTCCCACTGACTTGACATACTTTTTGTTGAAGTTCTATAGTTTGGAGAGCCATTCTACCTTCAGTTAACTGAGGATTTAAATTCTATCCCAACCTCTTCTCTCTCTCTCTCCTGGGTCTCTCCATAGCCCTGCTCTCCTACAACTCATTATGTAGACCAGGCTGGCCTTGAACTCACAGAGATGAATATTACCTCTTTTACCCATTATTTTGTGGAAACATTCACAGAAACAGATTGTTGACATATCAATTTTATTAAGGCATGATACATTCTATAGTTGTCTGTCAAATCTTCAATATTTGAATTTTTTCAACTTTTCATTTCTCGCAAAATGATGATGTACATTTTGTCTACACATTGATTTTCCTGATTTTGGGAAACTTCTTCAGAGTATAATTTGAAGATGAGAGAGACTAAAGACTAATTTTTTTCTGGCTCTGATATTTTGTTGACAAACTGTTAAATGTTTTGAGAAGTCAGGACATTATTTTGGTCCCTCTGACCAGATCCTAACTTAATTTCTTAATACACAAGGCTCATTAATGTCAACATGGCTCAGTACAGAAACAGAATCCAGCCAAATGCAGGGCATTCTGTGACATATTTTATTTTCTTGCAAGAGGTTTGGTCTTGAAGAGACAATATCTCAGTTATAGAAATAATGGGCATTGTGGCCATAGAATTGATGTCTCATCCCGCAGTTTATTTTATCCCTGAGATCTTTTTGTTCTTCTTGGATGGAGTCATGGAAATGCTTCTGTGCCATGGACTTTGAAAATGAGTTCCTGAGATCAAGTAGGTTGGTCTGAGGGTTGGGTACTCCAGCGTTAGGAATCCATCCCAAAATAGGTCTTGTTTCTTCATTGCTTTCCATGTCCATGCCCAAAAACTCTGGCTTACTTATAAGGTTGTCAAAAGCGAAATCATCCATATCTGTTTTGTTATATAGAATATTAGACTTACTGAGGCGAACAGGGTTCTGACAAGTAGCATATGGATCACGGAAAGCAGATTTAAGTGGTTCGTAGTCAATGTAATGGTTTGACTTAGAGTAGGATACGGGTAGGGGTTTCACTTCCAACTGTCTCCAGTACAAATCATCTGTCTTTTTAGTGTCTGTGATCTTTGGAAGTGATGTTAGGTCAAAAAGACTACTCATCTCTTTTCTTGGACAACGAGTTGGGAGTGTATAGGTAGACATCAAGCCTTGTTCTTTCTTAATCTTCTCTTCAATATCCTGGTTTTTACGAGTAATTCCAGGGAGGAGGTTATCATTCATTGCCATCACTTCTGTAGTACTGGGTATGAATGTATGAAAAGCACACAAAACCCTAGGGGTACAATCTGGACAGGAAGGTGGTCCTTGCTGCACCATAGCCTCCAGAGGTCGCTGGTTCTGAATAAGTCGGGCAATTCGACCTTCCAAAGGCCTGGGAGGTTTTAAGGCAGGATGGAATTTTTCTTGCTATATCAGTGGAATAAAGAGGAGAAAAAAAATCGACTGATTAGTAAATATAGCATTATAATAATATGGCTACAAGTTACCCATTTTTACGATCAGGAAGTAGAGTGGTGGAAGCATACACACTAAGATTCCTTGGTATATATTTGAATACATTGAATTCTGGGCCCAAGGAGGTACATCTTTCTTTTAGTGGCTTTTGGTAAATGGAAAATAAATTTTATTTGGCTATACACAAGCTTTCCGGTGTGGGAATTTTTGGCTTTTCAAAACTTCAGAGCTACAAAGGACTCACTAGACTGACACTTAGAGAGCAGGACTGCATTAACTATCCTCTGCAGGTTTTTTTTTTTTTTTTTTTTTTTTTTTTTTTTTTTGGAGACAGGGTTTCTCTGTAGCTTTGGAGCCTGTCCTGGAACTAGCTCTTGTAGACAGGATGGCCTTGAATTCACAGAGATCTGCCTGCCTCTGCAAGTGCTGGGATTAAAGGTGTGCACCACCACTGCCAGGCTTATCCTGTGCAGTTGTTTAAACCATGTAGGCAAGGCACAGTTCTTAAGCCCAGGGTGAATCAGAATCACCTTCAGAGCTGGCAGAAAGGAGTTCCTAAGCTTTAGTTCTAAGACTAGGACTTGTAAGGTCTACAGTAGGGTTCTGGGATCTGCTTGTTCTGGGAGGGTGTGTAAGAGAGAACAAACCCGTGTACTCTGAGCTATCCTCCCTACTCAGAAACAGGCATTTTAACAATGCCTCAGGTGCTGCTAAGGCAGGCAGCATGCTAAGTGCTCTGAGAAGCACTGTCTGAGGTGTTCAGTCAATGTCTTTTTGCTGGTTTTAGGGGCTGAGCACAGGGCCTTGCACATGCCAATCACATGCTTTGCCACTGAGCTGTACCCACTACCCCATCTGTGTTTAAAGATTTATTTATTTATTGTGTATACAGTATCCTGCCTGCATATATCCCTGCAGGCCAGAAGAGGGCACCAGAACTCATTACGGATGGTTGTGAGCCACCATGTGGGTACTGGGAATTGAACTCAGGAATCCGGGAAGAGCTGCCAGTGCTCTTAACCTGTGAGCCATCTCTCCAGCCCCTTGAGGTGTTTTTAAAGTATGGATTCAATCAGGCTTAGAAACTGCAAAAATAAAAGGCATATTCAGGATGCTATAACTGGAGCTATGTGGGTAGGGAGGAGGACAAAGGTGGCCTGTGTGACAGCATGGATGCTGATGTGCTCTGTGTTGTGGCAGAGGCTTGAATGAAAGCTGTATGCTTTTGTTTTCACAAATGTACATTTACTATTTGTACAATTTTATTAAGTATATTCTTCACATTGAATGAAAAACAGAAAAAATTTTAACTCTGGTAAATGGTATGAATGTGAAATCTTAATGGATAAAGTATATTAAGGTCTATACTTCATTCTAAAATGTGCAAAAATGACAAAAATATTTGTAGATGGTTGAAAGGAATAGATTATGCAAAAGAATTATAGGTATGTGCCACCATGAGGTGCCAAGCAATCAGACTGGGATTTTGTGTATGCTAAGGCAGGTCGTTACCAACTGAACAACATCTCCAGGCCTGGTACTTGTATTTCATTCTGAAAAAAAGCTTCGCAAGGATTTTTATCACCACTAAAACATGCTTTCCTGGAGTTGGTCCTGTAAGTTGAGCACACCTCAGTGTCAGATCACTGACACTGAGATATCTAATCCAACAGAGAGTGCCTATTGCAAGTGCAAAATCAAAGCAATGGAAAGACCTGTGGTAGCTGATAGAGCACAGCGTAAGGACCCAGCTCAGGTGTTTGATTTGATATCCCCGTCACAAATGATTAAGCTAATATAAAATTAAAGTGTTCAGTGTGATCTAAAAAAATCCCTATTTTCGTATGCTTATAGTTTTATATATATTTCTACAATTTCTAGCTTTGAAATTAAATTTTCAAAATTTGTATTTATAGAGGATAAACCAACACATGAATATGATATCCTTTATATAATTGATCTAGTGGATTATATATTTTATTATAGGGCTTGATAATTTCTTTCAAGACATTTTTATAATCAATTCTCTAATTGGTATAGGCAAAAATTTATTGGCTTTTGATTGTAATTCAGCCAACTCTCAATTATTATGACTACCAGGAAGAAGTTATTAATTTTCTCAAAAGTAATGGAATGTGTAAGATACACAAATTTATTAGGAATCATGAAATTACTCGTTAAGCTTTACTCATTATAGGCAAATTCTTTTGTGAATTATTTTATCAAGAGTAGCATGATAGAAAATATATATAAAATATAGGACTATGAAGAAGTTTTGTTTTTCCAATACAAAAACGGGTACCCAAGTCAGTTCCAATAAGTTCAGAATTATCTTTCAAAAGCAATTAGATCTTCTTTTTGTTTGGGTGGCCACCAATATTCAAGACACAAAACATGGAAAAGCAAGGAGACAAGGGCTGGATATTCTCCCCCAAATAACTGAGAGTTGACTGCAATTACTTACAGGCTGTGGGTCAAATCCTATCTGTCCAGTTAGCTCTGCTACCTCTTTTTCATGGTAATCATCCAGCTCAAGGGGGCTCATGGGCCCTAGACCTTAATAGAAACATTGTCTTATTATTTTGGTAGAGTAAATGAAGAACAGTTATTAAACTACCCGTTACGTAGGAAAACCTACTCATTATCTTTATGATATAAATCAGAGCCAATCAAATATAAACCAGCCCAACTTCCCTGCTACCCACTTAAGAGAGAAACTGCGCTCTCCCGCTAATTTGGATTAGTTTTTATAACGAGTCTCGGGACAGAACATCAGAAGATGGAAGCTTGTGATGGAGAGTATTCACCGAGTGTCCCTTTTCGGTTCTCATTACTTGTATTAGTGTGAACTCATACCTGTAAAGTCATGAGCGTATGAAGTGATCCAGTGGGATTTCTCAAGATTTCTTTGTATATTGGCTTCCTTTGCAGAGTTCACAGCATCCCATGGATTCAAAGATGTGTTAGGAGCAAAGGTTTTAGGAGGTTTGGGGTAGAACACTGGCTTGTTTTTCTCAACACATTTAGGAAACTAGAATATGAACATAAAGATTGCTGTTATTAATTGTATCTAACTGAATAAGGGCTGGTTCACTGTCCCAACAGGAAACAGTTAAGGTCAGTTTCTGTATTAATTACCATATTCAAGCCAGGCATGGTGGGTGAAATTATAACCACATTTTATTAAGGAGATGCTAACATCTCTTCTAAAAGTCTCTGAGAACTTAGGTTGCAGTTTGTCCCTGAATATTCTACTTCTGGTATGGTTTCATTAGCCATACAGAGGATTCTGTGTGCAGCTGGCTGACTTGACTAAAAGTGATTGCTTCTTTGTCTTCTGTCCCTGAAAGGAAGCTGCATGTTAGCTACATCTTTCTGACAAAGGCTTAAGTCACTCGAATTCCAACAGGATGACCATTCTTTACATAGAACTGAAGGTTTATTTTCTGTTTCCTAATAGGTGTGCATGTAAACGTGGCTAGATGCATTTTAGTGTGCCTCTAACCATTTAGTCAGTGCCTGGATGTACACATCTGTGGCAGGAAAGAAGGATCATCAAAAGTAAACATGTTTCAGGGGCACACTGGCTGGCACAAGAAAGAAGGGGCAAATGCAAATGACCACAGACAGCTGTTTTTAAAAGGTTAAGACAAAACTACTTCACTGGAGGCTCTAGTTGATGGAGAAGTGAGACCAGGAGCGGGACGCAGAGAAGGGAGATGAGACTGGGGTAGATACGGAGACACAAACATGCTGAAGCCGAGCTAGGGAGGAGGTATGCAGTATGGAACATTATGAACATTATGCCACCTGATGCCTGCAAGCCAAGCCCGCCTTTAACGTGTGCAGGGTCTGGGGTTTAAAGTACAGGTGGAAACCTGCCATTTGTCCAAACAGTTCCGCTAAAAGCAATAAACTAGTACTTACTTTGACTCGCAATTTTAACCACCCAGAAAACCAGTTCCAAATTCAGATTTGTTAGTCTGTTACAAGTTTTGCACTAAGACATGGTGGCTCAGGAAGAGCCAGATGCTGCACAGAGCCTCAGGTCCTGTAGTGCTCTCTTATACTTGCCCCATCCTCCTGCCACTCCCATTCCATCCAGTAGTCCTCTCAGGGTACCCTTTAGCCCAGACCTATATACAGGCTGGGGATGTATCAACCTTTAAGACAGGTACAAAGGAGCGTCCCTAGACTGGTGTGTGGTGGGAAATGAACATATGTTGCAGATGGATACAGTCTCCTTATTCTGTTAAGTCCCAGCCCCACAGGGAGGAACACAGCAAGAGGAAGGGAGAAGAATAGTCATGAAAAGTTCCTAGGCCTAGGGGTGACAATGTTGTTAGCATTCTTGTAATGTTGAAGCAACTCTCATTTTAGGTAAGTGGAGGATTCATGTAAAAGGCACTTGTGAATGGGTCTCAAGAAATATTAAATCATTACCGTTATATATCATTAATTAACCTACGGCTTGCTTACTCAGGGGCAAAGAAAGCCCCTTTAAAAGTATCTACTTGAGGGCTGGAGAGATGGCTCAGCAGTGAAGAGCACTGACTGCTCTTCCAGAGGTCTGAGTTCAATTCCGAGCAACCACATGGTGGCTCACAACCATCTATAATGAGATCAAGCATACAAGCAGGCAGAATACTGTATACATAATAAATAAATAAATCTTTTAAAAAATATCTATTTGAGCAGGGTGTTGGTAGTGCACACCTTTAATCCCAGCACGTGAGAGGCAGAGGCAGGTGGATCTCTGAGTTCAAGACCAGCCTGGTCTACAGAACAAGTTCCAGGACAGCCAGAGCCACACAAAGAAACCCTGTATTGAAAAACAAAAAAAAATCTATTTGATTTAATTATTAAATTTTATTTGTGTATGTAAACAATATATGTGTGTTTCTGTGAGTTTATGTATACCACCTGTGTGTAAGAGCCCACAGAAGCCAGAAGGGAGTATGGGGGTCATCGGGAACTGGAGTTGCAGATGCTGGGAAACAAAGCCCTCTGCGTTTCCTTATCTTTTCCATCATTTGCAGAGCTAACTTATTTGATAAAACATGGACCTTATTCAAGTACTGTCCTAAGAGGCGAGACTAATGCGCTTTATGCTGAAATGCAGTCTAGGACACGAGAAAGCAAATAGGAAATGCAAGACGTAGTGTCATCTGTGCCGTCTTGACAGTGTTAATAACCAGGTGATGCTGTTCTGAGGGGGTGGTGAGAGAGCTGACGGCAGTCATGACAGGTGTTCACTGGGGAAGGGTACACCCAGTGTAGAACATGTACCTGACAAAGGTAAGCACAGGCAGGAAGGGCTCCTCCAGTTGCTGGCCCATTTCATTCTAGGAAGACACTCCAGTTTACAAGAGTGATGTTATGTTTTCAGCAGAGCCCACGAAATAGATGTAGCTTAGTAATGTGTGTGTGTGTGTGTGTGTGTGTGTGTGTGTGTGTGTGTGTGTGACCAGAAGAGCTCAGGTGACCTGTTTGTCACCCTTGAGATGGGTCTCTCATGAGCCTGGAGCTAGGCCAGCAGCTAGAGCCTTGGTAACCTTCCTGCCTCTGTCCCATTATCTGCATAGATACAGGCTTGCACATACCACATCTGGCTCCCTCCCCCCAGACACGGTTTCTCTGTGTAACATTTCTGGCTGTCCTGGAACTCACTCTGTAGACCAGGCTGTCCTGGAACTCACTCTGTAGACCAGGCTGTCCTGGAACTCACTCTGTAGACCAGGCTGGCCTCCACACTCAGGTCCTCATGCTTGTGCAGCAAGTCTCTCACCCACTTAGCCATCTTCCCAGGACCATAGCTCAATAATTTTTAATAAACACTTATTAAGTTGATATTTATTAAATATAGAATTATGTGTAAAGTTCTGAGGGCTCTGTGCTAGGCACCAAAACTTTGTAAGGCTCCATTAAAACATTAGTAAATCATATAGTGGTGATACAATAAATGAAATTCTAAATCTTTTCCTTTGCTTGTGCTTTAGTGTAGAATCATGGGGCTTACTCAGGGCTAGCAAGGGAGTAAGAGAAGGCTTATTGTAGATATCACCCTCTGGAAGGACTTTAGCATTTTTAGACATTAGTTTTTTATTGGATCCTATTTCATTTTATTACACTATCACACTAATAAATTATGATTGTGAGCTTTGATTATATTTACATATGGAATGAAAAAAGATGCAAATGGGAATAAATAAAGTGACAGATTTTTCTGGCATCTAGTTAGGACATTAGAAGAAAGGCCTGAAGGGAAGAGTGTTTGCAGGGTGTGGGAGAGCATTGCTGGTCCAGTGAGGAAGATGGCTACTCCAACTTGTTTCACTTCTCAGACTAAGCAGGTGGGAGGCGGGTGCAAGGCAGCATGGAGGGGAAAACTCGTAGGCATCCAGTTGTTCAAGTGACATTTGTTTAAATGTCACTTACATTTACTTAAATTGCTGTGTGCTTGCCAATTTTTTATGGCCCGTTAAGCATTTGAGGTCTATAGTGGAGCGACAGCTGTCCCAGGAATGAGGCTGCTGGAGTGGATGAGCACCTTCAATTAGAAAGAGGAAGACAGGTGGTGAAGTAAGTGAGCTCTCTTTCAAAGAGAAGCCAAGGCTTTGTCTAGATACTTAGAGTAAAGGAAAGATGTTTTGTAATGGACATTAAATTAAATAGCCTTGGGGAGGCTTTGAAAATGGTTTAAATTAAGTTTAGTTAGGGAAGTATATGGAACCTCCTTCTGGGATCATATCTCATTTTACTCAAAAGATGATTACAAATTACATTTCATCCTAAAGACATTTTATATCTCAGCAAATAGTGACATAAACAGCTCAGAATAATCAAATATTAAAACTTGCTTATGTTTACCAATTGTAAAAGAAAAGGAAAGTGTAATGGCTGGAAATAGCTAGAGAGATCTCAGAAAGAAGAGAGAAGTGGCAAGAGACAACCTGGTTTGAGCAACAAGTACTCAGGAATGATTTGGTGGAAAATGGAGTCAGATCAAATGGGGTCTGGGTGAGAATGAGGTACCTGGAGCTCTTCGATCCTGACAGAATAAGTTTCACATGTGTATCAGGGAGAACGAAGACAAGATGACATTCAAACTATTCTGTTAAAAACTGAGTCCCAGCGGCCAGTGAGACGGCTCAGTGGGCAACAGTGCTTGCCAAGATGCCTAACAACCTGAGTTTCGTCTCAGAATCCCTTGAAGAAGGAGAGAACTGACACCTAGAAGTTGTTCTCTGACCTCCACATGCATTTATACCCAACACACCCGCATGCACGTGTGCGTGCACACACACACAGTATAGTAATTTAAACATTAAAAAGTTAAGTCCTTGATCATTTACAAGGGTAAGCCTTCTTTCCAATGTCACCATTTAAGAAATATTTCCAGGTTAGGAAAGCATACAGTCTCGGGAATATTGCCCAAAGTAGCTACAGCTACATTGATTATGATCTCACTATGCACTGAGACGGTGCTGGGGGCTTTTATTTCCATTTCCTTCTTGGGACAGACCTTTCAAGTACATTTTACCTTTGTTCTGCCTTCATTTATTGGGACACTGAGACACTGAAGAACTAAATGTACCCGTTACCCAGGTCATAGAACTGGTAGGTTTTAGAGCCAGAAACTGGCAGCTTTAGATGGTTACCAATGTTAATCACACTTTCTTGATGGCTTACATAGGAAATGCCAAATACAGTTTCTGGAGTTTCCTCCTTGTGGTAGGTAACATGGTAGAAAAGGCTTACCACCACATCCTAGCCCATTCCAACACAGACCTCCCTCCGCTTCTTCTCTTAAAAACCACACCCACAAGGTCATTTGTTCCTGTTTTTTTTTTTTGCCAGAGTCAGAGAGCAGCCACTTTAACTTTTCTTCCCCGCTTAATAAAGGATCTCTGTGAAAACAGTGTTTGGGTGTGGCTTGTGCCTAATCCGGGGTCTGGGAGGAAGCCCCTGCTGTGCAGGGGAGTCTCCTTCAGTAACCCCCCATCTAACTCAGTATCAGTTTTATTTTTGTCAGTGCAAAACTTGATTAAAGTTAGGAATGAGCCTGAAGAATGACCAAAAAGTTAAAAATTAAGACTAGTTAGAACAGATCACAAAGTGAGATTAAACATTAGAGACATGAACAAGAATAAAGACAGTAGGAGGCTGGAGAGATGGCTCAGTGGTTAAGAGCACTGACTGCTCTTCCAGAGGTCCTGAGTTCAATTCCCAGCAACCACATGGTGGCTCACAGCCATCTGTAATGAGATCTGGTGCCTTCTTCTGGCCAGCAAGCAGACAGACAGAACACTGTATACATTATAAATAAATAAATCTTTTTTTTTAAAAAAGAATAAAGCCAGTGGAAAATCTATGTAAAAAGACTGTGTATGCATGATGTAGTTCAGTTGCTAGTGTGATTGTCTAGTATGAACAGTGCCCTGGGTTCCATCCCCAGCACTGCATAAAACCACTGTGGTGGCACTTGGGAGGGAGGCAGGACGATCATGAGTTTGAGGTTATTCTTGGCCCCTTACCAAGCCAAGAGATTCTGTTACAAACAAACAAACAATCCCACTGGAAAACATCATAGAAGATATAAATACAAAATACTCTCTTCTCAAAGAAGTTGTCATTTAGCTGATGAGCTATAAAATCAATTGTGAGAAGTTATTGACTATAGAGTATGGGAGGTGTTAGCAGAGAAGAAAATAATTCCTGCTGGACTAACAATAATTTCTTATCTAGTATTTCCAGTTTTTATATTATTCCCCAAACTTTCCATGTCTGTAGGCCAGCTTTATTGAAATCATACAGATAATTAATCAAAGCTCAAAAAGAAACAATATGCCTCCTGTATCACTGAGACAGCAGATGCCATCAAAGGACAACTAATAACTAGAACAGAGGTCTCCTGACTTGGATCCCAGCTATGTTTGTTAGCTGAGACCTGGAAAATGAACAAATTTTAGACAGGCAGAAAGGCCCTGGAATGGTGGCTGGAGAGATGGTTCAGCAGAGGTCCTGAGTTCAATTCCCATGATGGTTCACAGCCATCTATAGTGGGCTCAGATGCCCTCTGGCACATGCAGAAAGAGCACTCTCATACATGAAGTAAATCTTGAGAGAAAGAGAGAGAGAGAGAGAGAGGCCCTGGAAAAGGGCATTCCATGGTTTGAATCTACTCAGGGGGAAGAAGTCAGGTTGCCACCAGAAGACCTTCCTGACTCACTACACTGCTGGGCTTTATTGCCACTTGGGCAAAGAGGAAGCCACAGAGGAGTGATAGGAAGGAAGCACATGGTAGAGACTTGGACTATGAGAGCATGAAATAATGGGGCAGTTGCAAGAATAACTTCTCATATTTCTGTTACTTAGGTAATAGATATTACGTGAATCAGAGACGCTTAATATTTTTATTTACTTGCAAGATTTTTAAATATATTAGTTTATTTTTAAGTAAATAATTTTAAAAGAGAAAAAAGTCAGAGATCAGTTAAAATGGTTGTGTAAGGGGTTCTTTTAGACATACTTTAAAACACAACAGGGCCAGGTGGTGGCGGCACACGCCTTTAATTCCAGCAGAGGCAGAGGCAGGCGGATCTCTGTGAGTTCAAGGCCAGCCTGGTCTACAAGAGGTAGTTCCCAGGACAGGCTCGAAAGCTACCGGAAAAACCCTGTTTTGAAAAACAAAACAAAACAAAAACTACGCAACAGGAATTGTTTACTTTGTTGACAGTTGTTTGTCACTATTGTGACCACAGGTGGCCTGCCACAATGGTGTTCCAGGTAAAACTCAGATGTCTCCAATCTTCCATTATTAAGTGTTTTACTCACAAATTCTTGGGTTCAAGGAGCTACTATCTGGAAGGACCTGACACTGCCTTTTAGAAACCACTCGATCAATACATGGTAGCTAGTATTATTTTCAAATGTCTAGATATGTTCTCTCATGACTGATAATTTCTCTCTTATCTATGTGGAGCTCTGGTACGGAGGTGAAAGTGGAGACAAGCCTCACAAACCTGGACTCTAACCATCACATAGTAATAAACTTGAGTCTCAGTGTCCCCTTCTGTGAAATGGGCTTGGTGGTAGTAATCTCAGAAAAGTACTTCAAAAATTAAATGATATAGTGGTGAATGCTTTTAATCCCAGCACTCGGGAGGCAGAGTCTGGAGGATCTCTGTGAGTTTGGGGCCAGCCTGGTCTACAGAGCTAGTTCCAGGACAGGCAGGGCTGTCCACAGAGAAACCCTGTCTCCATAAAGAAAAAAAGAGTTAAGTAGTGTATCTTGAAGTGGTTTGTGCGCAGTAATTTAACATATCATGCTTTCTTTTAGACTTTGATACAAATGTATTAATAATGACTGGAATAAAAATGGCTCATGAACTCGGGAGGCAGAGGCAGTTGGATCTCTGCGAGTTGGAAGCCAGCCTGGTCTGTAAGAGCAAGTTCCAGGACAATCTCCAAGCTACCTCAGAGAAACCCTGTCTTGAAAAACACCAAAAAAAAAAAAAAGACAAAGAACACACTTGTGTGTGTTTCCTTCAAACTACATACCGTCTTTTGTCTTATAACTCTGGAAATGCCCATAACTATCACAAGTTATGAAATCAGCTGATAAAATAAAAGATGGGAAAGTGAAATTGCAGACTTTTCCTCTAAATATAAACAGTCCATTGTTGGGAAATATTATTTTGAGGCATGTTACTTTTGTTTATGCTGTATTTGATTAACTGTGATCTTTGCCTGTGATTCTTTGCCTGTGTAACACACCTAATAAAGAGATGAATGGCCAATAGTAAGAATAGGCTGTCTAGCAGGCAGAGCATATAAAGAGAGAAAGAGGAGCAAGAGAACAAGAAGAGGAGGACATCAGAGGCTGGTCACCCAGCTACACAGCAAATCATGGAGAAAGAGGTAAAGTGAGGTATACAGAAACAGAGAAAGATAAAGCCCAGAGGCAAAAGGCAGTTGGGATAACTCAAGTTAAGGAAAACTGGCAAGAAAAACACCAAACTAAGGCTGGGCATTCCTAAGTAATAATAAGCCTCTGTGTGATTTATTCGAGAGCTGGAAGGTGGGCTCCTCAAAAGCCAAAAGAATAAAACGTCCTACACCAGTCCACCACGTGCACTTTAGTGTGTCTGACATATGCAGTGTGTATGTACGTGTGTGTTGACTGGCATGTATATGTGAAGGAGCACATGTGTACATCCCTGAGGAGGCCAGATTAATACTGGGCGGCTTCCTCTATCATTATCCATGTGAGAATCATATACAGGGTCTCACTAAATTTGGAGATCACTGATTCAGCAAGGCTGGCTGGCCAGGGTCACCTTGAATCCCAGCTTTTGTGTAGGCACTGGAGATCTGAACTCAGGTTCTCATGCTTGCACAGCAAATCCTTTACCCACTGAGCAATCTCCCCAGCCCCATCTTGTATATTTTATAAGTGTATTAGGTTAAGAGGTATTAATTCTGAAGGATACTTACATCATAATATACACCCTGACCTGGCCAACTCAGTGCTTTTTTCTTTGAATCCATGGGGAAATCAAGCAGTTCGTATCTGTAAGGGTTACCTGAAAATCGAAGCAAGAGTAGTTATTCTGAAGAGATCAGAGCAACCCAGACCTATGGGTGAGTGAGAAATGAGACCAGGAAGAGATATTCTGTTTCTACCACGGAGGCTGTGCTTGCAGTGCAGCCACGAGTGTCTGCAGTCTGAGTTAACCGGTGTACACTGCGCTCTCGGCTGACTGCTGGGGCATCTTTCCGGACAGTGGGGTGAGGTTACTAGACCCTCTGCTCGCCTTGCCTTCTTGGATTGTACTACCGAGTTCTTGCCAATGATAAGTCATACAGTTTTGATTTCACGTCAGTCTTACCTCTTGTCTTCAAAACGGTCGTGTCATAGGCCTTGGTTGGCACTGTAGGAGGGAAAGGCTGCTGCGCGCAGGCTTTAATGCCAGTGTAGAGGTCCTTAGGTGAGGTGAAGGTCGGGAACATGGCGCCGCGGCTTGTGTGTGTATGGTAGGGATGTTCAATTGGATATGGTGAGCAGATTTCTCTAAGATTTATTGAGTAAATAAGAAAAGAGAAAGAAGTAAATAAAAACCCATCAAATATTTACTGGGGTCCTTTGCTGTGGCAGATGCTGTTCTGTCCACTGTGGAGATGGCCCAGACCATTCCTATACTTACACAGCTAGCATTCTGTAGCATTTACCATAAACAATGAATCTTCTTAATTTTGCTAGATAAATCAAAACTAATTTAAAAAATAATCATACCTAATTAATTATTAGTGAGTAGTTTTCCTAAATGGCTAATATTAAAGCAGAAAATGTATTAATTTTACAGTTTGGAGGAAGTAGAGGAAGAATTTTTCGTGCTTTTAACTTCCACATCATGTTTTAAGAAGATCCAAATATTTGATTTTATGGAATCATTTTGAGCATCTATTCCAGTAATGCAACACCTTGGACTGAACTTTCAACCCAGGCCATTTGTTCTTTGAGCAGTCAGCAACACACACACACACACACACACACACACACACACACACTGAAGGAAAAGGTTAAGAAGGCAGAGGGATCTAATTTTGCTATTGGAGAACTGGCACAGACTAAGGGAGAGTGTAGAAGCTGTGTGAGAGCCACAAAGTACAGAATGGTATTTACAATTAGAATTCAATAAAACAAGACTGGTGTTAGAGGCTGAATTGTGTTTCCTCTCAAAATCTGTGGGTTGAAATCCTAACCCCAAAGGCCTTCTATTGTAAACTAATTTGGAAATAGGATTGTAGTACATGTCATTAGACAAGAGGGGTCATACTAATGTGGGGTGGGCCCCTAATTTGAAGGCTGTGTGCTTAAAAGGGAGTTAAACTTGTACACAGGGAGGCCTACACTGAGAACGCCACATGAGGACAGAACTGCGAGGACAGAGCTGTGTGCTACAGACTGCCAGCAGACCTGGGCTGAGAGCAGATTCCCTCACAGCTCCTAGAGGGAGCGGACCTCCACACCACAATACTCTACTCCTCGCCTGCCACGTAGAAGCTCACACTCAAGAAAGATGAACCCAAGAAATGAACCCCAAACAGGAATTCTTCACAGGTTTTTTTAATACCCACCCCCAACCTTAACTCGGATTCTGAGATTTCTTTGAGTAGCTCTTTGCTTTAACTGAAACACAATTCTAAAATGTTAGCTTAACGTTCTCAGTTGGTGTGAGAGAACGTGGGTGGCCCAAGAGTACCTACTGCTCAGATCTGGTTTTTATGCCAGTTCCTAGTAAAAAGAACTCATGTTTCTTGAGGTTCTGGCTGATTCTTGGAGCAAACAGGAAATAAATAAGATGACTCAGAAATATCTTATAAGGACTAATAAAGGTTAAAATAAGAGAAAAGAACAGAAACAACCCTCTCCACAGCCCCACAGTGTGGGAATATTAAAGAGTGCAGGAGAGATTCAAAGAGTGGCTTATGGCAATTCAAGACACCAAAGTAAGTGACCCTGGATTACTTCAAGAGTTCCTAAACCAAAACAGACATCCACAAGGGTGAAATAAGTGATTAAAGAAAAACCACCAAAACCATCATTCAAAAGAGTACGTAAAAGTCCCATGCAGAATACCAAAAGAAGAAAAAAACCCACCAAATTTCATACAGAGACTAACATAGCCCAGCCTGGCCTCAAACTCATTCTGTAGTGGAGGATGACCTTAAACTCATGATCTCTGGGCTTATAGGCATGTGCTGGGAATGAAACCCAGGGCCTTGGAGCACACTAGGCAAGTGCTCTACCATATGAACTCCATCCCAGCCCTAAATTAATTTGAGAAGGTGCTTTTTTCTTAAAAGGTAGTACAGAATTCCAGATGTCTTCTGCACACCTCAACTTTCTTCTTAAAAGCACACTGTGGAAGGAAGGACAAAAAGAGTAACCACAGTGGGGAAGCTGTAAACATTCCCGAGTCCAGTGGTGGAGGTCACATCAGCAAGAATCGAGTGGTCTTCCTCGAGTGGAGCAGGATAGTGTATAAACAGGACTTTATCTGTGTGGCCTGCTTCCCAACACACACCACTCCAGCCTTACCATTAACAAAACTAAACAAAACAACCAAAAAAAAAAAAAAAACCCCACAGTCAAATTCCATTTGCGGTCATTCTACAAACATTCTATAACCTTTAGAACTGTTAAGAATATCAAAACAAGAAGGCTACCCACCCAGAGCAGTGAGCCTCAAGGTCCCCAGTAAGAGAGCCCGGCACCCTCAGCCTGGGCTCCAGGGGCTCCTGTGTTCTCCTGGATCCTGCACTGCCTGCCCCGTCCTTCCTTCTGTCCCTGGATCACTGGACTACCAGGCGGCCCTGTTTAGGTGCTGAAGAGTTCCATCTGGACGG